TAAAAATTTGAAAAAAATAAATAAATTCTAATAAGTCTTTTCATCCATATATGTTGGTTAATTGTCTAATCTGTAAAACTTAAATGGTACGAATGTTAGGTGGTTTTCCTTTGATAAATTACTGTTGCGTTTATTTTTCCTAATTTTATCACAAAACAAAAATAATGGCAATAATCAGAAATTAAAAGATCCTTTCAAATCAGTATATAAAATGTGCAAAATAAATCATATCAAAATAAAAAAAAAAAAAAGAAGAAGAAGAGGGCAATCGTGATATTGTACATACACTTTGTAATAGTAATTAACTAAGTTAACTGCTAAGTGGTGGATCAAAATCTCTTGAATGTTAAAAAAATGAGGAATTTTTTTATATTGTTAGTTAACTTTGAGAATTCTACTTTAGTAGGGTAGCATCTAAACCTTATTTATTTTTTTTACAAAAAGTTATAGAGATAATAAGTTATTTGTTTGTTGTAATAAATAACCCATCATCGTTTTTTTAAAATTCATCCTGCTACAAAAATGGATGAAAAATCAAGAATGATAGTTTTTGGATTCAAAAGTTTAATTTCAACTATTTTTTTTTTCTAAAAACACTCTAAAAAATAAATAAATCCATTAATAGCATTAAATAACTAAAAAATATGTTGAAAAGCCAAAAATCAACCCACATTAATAAAACTTCCCAAGCCTGGGTTTGTCCCCTTCCTCTGCATCTGGGTTCGAGCCTTACCGTGCATGTCTGTCATCCCCATGGTGTCTTACCTGTTCACTGGACTTGCAGGATATTCAGTGGGCCGTGAAGATTAGTCGTGGTGCGCGTAAGCTGACCCAGACACCCCACATAAATAAATAAATAAAAACTTCTCAAGCCTAGACTTAGTATTTCACGATGAAGGCTAAAAAACACCATAATAAAACCTTTTTCATCAAATAAAAATTTTTAACACTAAAATCAATATATTTCTATCCAGATTAATATTTTTCATACCTGAAAATTGTCTCAATTAATACTTTCTCTTTCCTCACCATTTTAGGTAAGTCTCTTTTGCATTTCTAACTTAGAGATAAAAAAATTAAGAAAATAAATATTTAGATCATAATAAAAATTCATCGTTAATACAAAATTAAGTTTTATATCTTAGTTCTTTATCTTCAAATATTGTATTTTTATCATAATCTCAAGCCTAATATCTTTCAACTAAGCTAATACAAAAAAAGTTAAAATTAAAATTAAAATTAAAATTAAAATTAAAATTAAAATTAAAATTAAAATTAAAATTAAAATTAAAATTAAAATTAAAATTAAAATTAAAATTAAAATTAAAATTAAAATTAAAATTAAAATTAAAATTAAAATTAAAATTAAAATTAAAATTAAAATTAAAATTAAAATTAAAATTAAAATTAAAATTAAAATTAAAATTAAAATTAAAATTAAAATTAAAATTAAAATTAAAATTAAAATTAAAATTAAAATTAAAATTAAAATTAAAATTAAAATTAAAATTAAAATTAAAATTAAAATTAAAATTAAAATTAAAATTAAAATTAAAATTAAAATTAAAATTAAAATTAAAATTAAAATTAAAATTAAAATTAAAATTAAAATTAAAATTAAAATTAAAATTAAAATTAAAATTAAAATTAAAATTAAAATTAAAATTAAAATTAAAATTAAAATTAAAATTAAAATTAAAATTAAAATTAAAATTAAAATTAAAATTAAAATTAAAATTAAAATTAAAATTAAAATTAAAATTAAAATTAAAATTAAAATTAAAATTAAAATTAAAATTAAAATTAAAATTAAAATTAAAATTAAAATTAAAATTAAAATTAAAATTAAAATTAAAATTAAAATTAAAATTAAAATTAAAATTAAAATTAAAATTAAAATTAAAATTAAAATTAAAATTAAAATTAAAATTAAAATTAAAATTAAAATTAAAATTAAAATTAAAATTAAAATTAAAATTAAAATTAAAATTAAAATTAAAATTAAAATTAAAATTAAAATTAAAATTAAAATTAAAATTAAAATTAAAATTAAAATTAAAATTAAAATTAAAATTAAAATTAAAATTAAAATTAAAATTAAAATTAAAATTAAAATTAAAATTAAAATTAAAATTAAAATTAAAATTAAAATTAAAATTAAAATTAAAATTAAAATTAAAATTAAAATTAAAATTAAAATTAAAATTAAAATTAAAATTAAAATTAAAATTAAAATTAAAATTATATATATATATATATATATTAAAAAAGAGCAAGTGATAGGTTCACTAATATTCATTTGAGTGAACCATGCACCCCAAGTATTTTAGTTTTTAGTATAATATAATCTTCAAAAGATTTTATACAATATGCTAAATTTACATTAGCAAAAGAGATAGTTCTTATAGCCGAGTCTCACTTTCGTAAAACAAATCTAACAAAATCGGAGCATTCTAAAAAAAACCTCATTAAAATCTCGAATGAAATACTAATTTTGGTGTTATTTTGTTAGAGGTTTTCTTCTTCTTCTTCCTTTTTTATTTCTGAGAAAACTTCAACTTAACTATTGATGATTTAATGAATTTTCTCATGTTTTGTAGTTGGATAAGTACCAATATAATTGGACCACTTGTGATGGAGATTGGAGCAAAAGCATAGAAATTTCATGCATCTTCTCCACCAGCAAGCTTGCTGTTTCCTTCCCTAAGCAAACATTTTTCTCTATTGAGTTCATGCATGAGATCTCCGGAGATTGGTTGATAGAGGATAAGCTCATCATCAGCCAACACCTTCTTCATCATTTCTCTTTTCAGATGCACTGTTGATTATGCATTAAAAAATTTGCCCTTTGTTAGACTAGTTTCTTAATTGTAAGTCATTGTTTAACGCAGCAATAAGATTGAGATCGTGGGATTAATGTGTAATTAATTAAATGTTGGTGCATTTTTGAGTAAGACTAGCTCGCACACAGATTCACTTATTGCTTCTTACGCACTTATATGATTAAGGTCTTGATCCACTAACAAGTGTGGATAATAAAGGTTTTTTTTTTAATGTATTTCTAAATGGGCATTAATATATAATTATGATCGATACTTTTTCTACTTAAAAGGGTGAAAAGAGTTTTATCATCAATAGTTTATACCATCTTTGCTGTTTCTGTTGTAAAGTCGACTGTCTTGGATCATCCATAATTAAGAAGTGTTCATCTTTTTTGATATGTACACTTTATTAGGTTTTAACGTGGCTCGACTGCATCGCATATTTCACATGATTTGGTATCTCTCGTTTTCATTCCCGCTGTAAGGTCCTCTATTGTTTCTGCAGTGGCCTAACACCATTTTAGCTGTTGATGTAAACAAATTAGAATCAAATACCATTCTCATCCAGCTGAGAAGAATCATATACTTTTTGTGGGATCCAATATTCAGTAATCGTCACAGCACCTAAACATTTCTAAACTGGAACATATTCGACTTTGATCAGCTTATATATATACCAAGAAAAGAAAAGAATCGCTTGTGATCATTCTATTTTTTAGAACTATGACAATGAGTTACACTGATTAATTCATGAGAGATCAATTGGAATTTTTAACTTGTGATAACCAAAATCTATTTGGAAAAGAAGATCATAAGAATTCTTGGACGCTTGCCTGCTGTTCACCATGGTGAAGCTAGCACTGATTCCATCAAGTTCCCCAAGTCATGCGCAGCCCATAAAATATATATTCCTTATTCTATCATTTATGCGATGGGATTTTCTTAAAATTATCAGAACAATCATGAATGTATAAATCCTTGTTGATCGGTTTGCTTGTGATATGCACCCTTTCAGCTTAGACATTGCTCTCCCACTTGTTGCTTGTCCATGTTTCAGTGTCCTGTGTGATTTTTGTTTCTTCTGTTATTTGCTCCAATACACAATCATTCCGCTAATCTTTATTCTCGCTTGCTATCAAATCATCATTTATCTTCACTCCAAAGTTCTTTGACCAAAGTTTCCTATCATGCTACATCTAAATCATCCAGGGACAAAGTTGATCAGGTCATCATATACAGGAAATTTTTGGGTAGAACTAGAATAGGTCTAATCGATTTCTATGGAGACTAGCAATTGATTGGAGTGGAGAACCGTTTCCATGACATATCCCCACTTTCCTAATGGTTAAAATCATTTATTTTGTCTACACTCGAAAGAACTTATTTTGAGTCGCCCATCCAAGACTTGCTAATTGGCCTATAAAAGGGTTTTGGTTCCTGGGGATTGGAAGAACAAATTTGTTCAATCATATTGTAACACTTTAACAATGATTGAAGTAACATGCACTAAAGGAATCGCCCTTGCAGACTATTTTACAGGGATAAAGCTCTAATCAACAGTTTCAAAGGGGATTTTACTTAGTTCAAGAGGGTTATTAAGCGGTTTAAATAAACTATGTATCTTACAATTCTTACTCATCTGAGATCTTTTATAAAATTATTGCAGTTTGCAGGGCCCATGCATGAGTGTAGGTTTATAATTAGGTCATGACCATATCATCTTAACCTCAAGAATGGTTTGGACAAGGCAAAGTGGGTGGCTGCTGATAACTAGCTGTAAAAAAATGAGCAAAAGGATTTAGCCGTGAGTGACTTGATGTGCAGAAAACAGAAGGGCGTGCCCCGCTGCAGCATCTCCTTCAGCATTATTTTCCACCCCAAAATGATTGAAGTAATAATTCTTAGTCCCTGCTCCCATTAAAAAAAAAAATTTCATCTGGATCAGAAAGGCAAGGTGTTTGTAGAAACATTGAACCAAGGCCAATCCTAGGGGCCATACCTATATATACTTCCCATATGAGATCAACATGCAGTTTTTCAAGAGGGAATTATGAGTGCTTAGTTTGATTGCCTTTGTGGACACCATGAGAGCCTTAAGGCTTCTTCCATCAGTGAAAATGACAAGTTTGTTTGTTTTTCTTTTGTGTTTTGATGGTGATGTAACCTTCAAACTCATGGTTGCTAGGCAAAACACAAATGGGGACAAAAGATGTGGCTGGATACATTAACTGCAAATCTTTGATCCAGCAGTGACCCAACTTGGAAACAAATTTTCATACAGTAGATATCAATCGCTGTTGTTTGTCATCAGTAGAGGACACAGGCCTCAACTCCTGTCTACCTCTTGCGGCCTGCATTAATTAGCAGGACATTGCTTCCTTTCCTTCCATGTTCGTACATTAAAGAAATACAGAATCCTGCAATTTTTAAAGATGGATATAAATCAAATAATACAAATAAATTAAAGAAAGGACTGTTAATCTGCCAATTCATTCTGAGTAGATATCAGATAAATGCTCTGCATCTTCTCTTCTACAAAGATTCTCAGACAATGCCCAATGTCTTTCTAATAGCTTAGCAACAGATAGCAGTTCGTATTACCTGTGATGAAAAACTTGAAATGGAAATGGAATGATCACTTTCCTAATACATGCATGCTCGTTATCAAGCAGTAGGTGTTTATATGCATTCAATACTCCTTTTTCATAAGGTACAAGTGCCAGCCACTTTCAGAAATCTTTCATCTATGTGGAAAAATCCAACAAGAGAAATGTAAACATTCATGTCTTTTGGAAAGCCGAGAACAACTAATGTAATTGAACGTAGCAAATAAGATCAAGAAGATTTTGTTTGGAGATTCAATGAATTATGAGCCTTTCCGATTACAAGGGCAACCAATGTCAAATCCTGACAGAAGCACATGTTCTGCTGTGAGATATCTGATTTAATCTAACAATGAAAGAAGGAATTATCAGCAAAACATAACGTAGAGAACATTCAAAAGAGGAGAGGTTAGCTAATTAAAATCTTGAATAAAACTTCTTTGACCATTCATTTTACTGGAAGAGTTTTACAAAATGCAGCCTTCCACATAGGACATTCTGAATAGAAAGTTGGAAAACATGCCCAAAAGACAAGTATCATAATGTGATGTATTAACTTATTTTTAAAAATTAATTTTTAGGCTAAGTATTTTTATTTTTTTTAAATAAAGGGTGATAATTCAGGTGATAATTGAAATTATAAATTATATAAATTTTACTTATTTCAAGGACAAATGCTTTTATTATAGCTATGAGCCAAGTCTAAGTGGATATAAGTTTAATATGTTATCGCACTTAATTTTTTTAAGTTTAGTTATGTATTTAGCTCAAACAGACATGGATCTAACGAGCTGTTAGATTTAATATTCTTAAGTTCAAATATATTTTAATCCTGAATAAACATGGTGAGTTAACAAACTTAATATTTTTAGATTCATCACATGCAAAATTTAAATAAACATTAATTTAGTAAATTATCAGGTTCATTGTTTATAAATTTGCTATCAATCAAAACTTAAATGTGTATGATTTTAGCGAGTTGTCAAACTTATTACTTTTAAATTTGGCAATATATCAAATATAAAAAAATAAAAGTTTGGAGATATAGATCTCATGTTGTGCTAGAAGTTTAAATTGTTTATTCTTATAATTTTTTAATATAAAATATTAATGTAAAGAATATGTATTTTTCAAGTGTTTAAAAATTTTCTAATGTCCAACCATTATTTCATGAGTATAGGTTTATAATTAGATCATGACTATATCTTCTTAACACACATTTTCTTCACCTCATAATTAACTTTTCCATCTAATAAACGATCACAAATGGTTTTTTGAAAACTGGGGAGAGATCAGTTGTTTTATTCGAGTGATTATACGACAGCAAACAATAAAAGGGACTATAAAGCTCCTAACAGACGAAAATGACCATGGTAAAAAATAGAAGAAGCCTAACCTCAGCAATGGTTTGGACAAGGCAAAGTGGGTGGGTGGCTGCTGACAACAAGCTGTAAAAAAATATTAGCAGAAGGATTCAACCGTGAGTGACTTGATATGAGGAAAACAAAAGGGTGTGCCCTACTGCAGCATCTCCTTAGCCATCATTTTCCACCCCAAAATGACTGAAGTAATAATTCCTATTCCCTACAGGCTACACCCTTTAAGAAAAAACACCATCTGAACCAGAAAGACAAGGTGTTTGTAGAAACATTGAACCAAAGCCAATCCCAAGGGCCATAACTATATAAACTCTCCATATGTGAACACCATGCAGTTTTTCAAGAGGGAATTACGAGTGCTCTGTTTGATTGCCCTTGTGGACACCATGATTGCCTCGAGGCTTCTTCCATTACTGAAAATGACGAGTTTGTTTGTTTTTCTTTCGTGTTTGGTCGTGTGTTTTGATGGTGATGTAACCCACAGACTCATGGTTGCTTAGCAAATCAAAAATAGGGATAAAAGAAGTGGGTCTCTACATCAACTGAAATGTAATATTGTAATTTAAGGTCTGGGAGGTATTATGATGGTTATTTTTTAAAAAAATTTACTCGAAAATATATATTAAAAAAAAAATTATTTTTTATATGAGACACTAAAAAATATTAATTTAAAATTAAAAAATAATTTTTTTAAAACATAAAAATAAACAATATATTAATCTTTGATCTTGCAGTGACCTCACTTGGAAACAAATTTTCATACAATAGATATCAATCGCTGTTGTTTGTCATCAGTAGTGGACACAGGCCTCAACTCCTGTCTTTCTCTTGTGGCCAGACATTAATAAGCAGGACTTTCCTTCCATGTTCGTACATTAAGAATGCAGAATCCTGCAATTTTTAAAGATGGATATAAATCAAATAATACAAATAAATTAAAGGAAGGACTGTTAACCTGCCAATTCATTCTGAGTAGATATCAGATAAATGCTCTGCATCTTCCTACTGCTAAGATTCTCAGACAATGCCGAATGTCTTTGTAATGGTTTAGCAACAGACCTTAATTCCTTCCTTACTTTCCTTCCATGTTCATACGTTGGACATTACTACAATGCTGTAGCTAAAATGATGACAGTTTAATTAGTTACTACAGAGTGCATTAGGTGCTGAACATTCCTTGCAAAGATGTGTAGTACTGTCATGTTCTTCAATTCAATCAGGGCCTCAAGATGCTTAGCCTGAATCTTGATGCCTTTGGTCATGTCTCCAGATAAAATATCCAATATACCTGCATTTACAAATGGAAATGGAAGGATGAACAGTAAAGATTTGAAAATCAAAACAACATGAAAACAAAATAACATGAAATGAAGTTGCCATATGTTCTCTGTTTTTACTTCTCTGCAATGCTTACCAGATCAAATTCACCATTTATTTTTCTCCTTCTGTTGATTCATAAGAAGGCATGGGGCATTAAGCTAAACATGGGGGATGTCTCTTTAATTGGGATTGTTTTTGCAAATACTTTAGGCTTTACTGTTAATTTAGTGTTTCCTGAACTTACGAGAAGAAAATCATCTACCTCATCTTGATTAATCCATTATATAAATATTCTGGATTTTAAAAATCAGTCTCCAAAATTTGAGATGATGGAAGTCGAGGCAGCGGCGACGACAGCAACAAGAACAGCATTTTCGAGAGATGGGCTAAATGCATCTGTGCTGGTGTTAATATTAACAAATCTTTTTAAGAATTATTCACTGTCATAAGAAATCTCTCTCAGCCTTTTGCACCGTCAATATTAACAATTATTTTGCCCTCAGCTCTTTTATGTTCCATTCATTGGTCTTCATAATTGTGATGCTCAATTGTATGCCTTAATAATAAGATTTGTGATGTTAATTGCAGGTATCTCCATTAATTATTAGAAGATTTTATTATTATATATATATATATATATTATAAAATTATCTTAATCTAGTCATTTTTTTATTTTAATATTTAATGTTAGATTTTTATAATTTTTTTATTTTTTTTAATGAAGTTATTTTTATTTTATAATTCAGATCATAAATTTAATAGATTAATCAGGATTGACTTAGATTATTTTTTTAAATTATTTTTTTTATTTTATCCTTCAACATTAAATTAGTTGAGAATTGGACTTCATAGTTTTTTTTTTCTTTTTATAAGGTTATCCTGATCTCATGAATGGAGTTGTGGGTTTGATAAATTAACCTAAATTGACTTTCGTAGTTTTTTTTTGTTATTTTTTTAATTTAATATTTTTTTAATTTTTTCCTTTAACATTAGTTTAGGTTAATTAAGAATTAAACTTCTTACTTTATTTTAATTTTTTTTCTAAAGTTATTATGGTTTCATAATCCGAGTCATAGATTTGCAGAGACAGAACTAGAATAAATTTTAGGGGGACAAAACTAATATAACAAGATATAAATTTATTTTCCTAATCTACCATACATGAATTATAAATATAAAAACACCTCATGATTTAGATTTATACAAAGAAAAACATAAAACGATACAAAATTTACTACAGACAAGATAAGTAATATAAAAATTTACTATAAATATAGAACAACTTTTATATGGGCTAAGAGGCTAATAGCCATACCAAATTAAATTAAAACTATGAATTTAATTTAATTTTTATAATAAATTCACTAATTTAATTTTATCGGTCTTTATATTTATCAAATCTAAACATACAAAGTTTATAAATAGCATTAGTTGAGGCAAAACATTATTTTTATTTGATATATTTGTTGAAATAAAATACAATAAAAATAAAATAATAAACAAAGTTTCTTACATATTACACTCACCATTCTTTCATAAAATAAAAATTATTAATTATGATATTTATTGAAAATCTTTCAACAATATCTTTATATATATATATATATAAACAATCAAATAATATATAAAAAATAATTCTCCATCAACATTTTTTTTCTTTCTAAAAAATAAGAATTAATCTTTCTTATATAATTTATGATTCAAACTAAAATAAAAAACAAATAAATTAGACAAACTTTAATTAAAAGAATTAAAGATCTAAAATTAGAAACAACAATACAGATGAAGACCATAAATTAATGAAATGAGTATCTTTAATTCCACTTAAATTCACAAAAACTCAATTAAAATTTTTAATTCCACTTAAATTCACAAAAACTCAATCCAAATTAAAAATCAATGGCAACCCATCCAAGTCTAAAAACAAAATAGAATTTCGATAAAACAACACAAAAGTAAGAAGAGATAGTAAAAACAAGAAGAAAAAAAAGATTTTGAGTTTGAGTTACGTTATTTTAATGGAAGAGAGGTAGAGGCAGAGATTCTTGCGGCATGGGAAGTGCAGAGAGAGAGAGAGAGAAGGTGGCTATGTTTTTTACTAATATATATGCATTATATTTAAAATTAAAATCTTAATTAAACTTCTTCTCTTTTTTTTTTCCGTTCCAGGCATTCTAGACAGGTGTGGATGGAATTTTACGTTCCAGCCTCTTTCTGGGCGTGATGATTTTTTATTTTTTTTTATCAACATTTCAATGGCAATTTCACAGCAGTGATTACCCTTTTTTTTTTTAATTTGAAGAAAAAAAACCAATAAAATGAATTTAGGTAAATCTTACAACAGTGATTACATTTTCAATTAAAAAATGAAAGCTAATATTCTTCCGAGTAATTACTTTTTCACTCACCTCTGACCAAAAAGAAAGAGAACCCAACATTTTGAAGGCATGACGGAGGAGGAAGGAGGCTTCAAATTCTCTTCATTCTCGCCATCTTTGGATCTCAATAAACCCTATGGTTTCTCTTCTCTTTCTTATCTCTTATATTTGGCATTCTCAGCATTCACCGTGTTTTTTTTTTAATTAGTTTTTGTTAGGGGTCTTATACTACCTTAATGGTTGTGCCTGGAATCTTGATTATCCCTCGAGATCTTGATTTTTACATTTTGGGATTCGCTTTTTTCATTATGTTCTTTCAGTTTCTTTACTGTACATTGGCTGATGTAAACCTGCTAAACAATCATGCGTGCGTTTTCTTTTTTAATGAGTTTGCATAAATGGAGTTTGCTTCTTTTTTTTTTTTTCCTTCAGAACTTGCTAAATGCGGTTCCAAAACACACTGTAGATATTACCAGAGCATTTAAAAAAAATTCTTTTTAATGGGTTGCTTTCAAGATGGGTGATTGTTTAAGATAAAAACATTGGATTCTTGGCAGAGTTGAAAAATGATGTCTTTTACTTAGTTGAAGCGGAGAGAGATTTTGATTTTTGAACCTCGAATCCCTTTTTTTTTCTGGCAGTTCCTCTTGGAAGTGCTTTGTAGTTTATTTTGATTCAGTTTCCAGCTGAATTCCATGATGCCAAAAAGTGAGCTTGAGTTCTCTGGATAACCAGGCTGTTAAAAATCGATGTAGATTGTGAAATAAATGCAAGTGCCTTTATTCATTTTTTTCCATCTTTTACTTTTCAATTGCGTTGGAAGATTATTATAATTTTTATGAGCATATCTTTTTGTATATTGTTTTTTGATTTGACAGAAAGATTAGATGAGGAGACTTTTTCTTTCTGTTGTATTTGTGACATTTTTCCTTTCAAACTGGTGGCAGAATGGTGACATTGTGTACAGAGGTGATTCTCGAAAAAATATTATAACATAAAAGGACATCACATACATGTGAAACATGGCTGAGGTAGCGGTGGAGTACCTCGTTAGAAAATTGAAGGATCGAATTTTATTTGAAACTGACAGACGAAGTGCGGCAGAATTAAATAGCATCAAGATTGAGTTCGAAAAACTCAGGCCATTTCTGAAAAATGCAGATTGGAGAAAGATGATGGTTGCTGACAACACAATTGTGAAATGGGTGACAGATGTGATAAACCTGGTGTATGAGGTTGAAGATGTCATTGACAAGGATAGCAGTGGAAGAAAGGAGTCATATGGGTCTCTGTCCTCACTTGTTGATTTTGTGAGTGAATTTTTTAATTACGGGACCGCATCAAATAAACCGCATACTAGTTACAAGTCATTGCTGGTGCATGTCTCAGATAGGATTAAAGAACTAGAAGCCACAAGGAAGCATCTAAGCTTGTTAGGAGACATCACTAAAGCCAAACATGAAAGCCTGATACAACATTCAAAGTCCTCCCATAAGCTTCCATTGAACAATATGATTGGAAGGAGCAAAGAATTTATGATGCTCAAGGAATTGCTTCTTCATGTGGTCGAGGCTGATAGGCCATATCTTGTTGCTGTAACTGGAAATGAAGGTGTTGGCAAAACAACACTCGTCCTAAGAGTGTATGAGAGTGTGCAGAGACATTTTGACTGTTCTGCCTGGATTTCTGTTTGTGGGCGTTCAGTCACTGGAATTTTAAGAAACATGGCTGCAGATTTTTCCAGAAGCCATTCAGTAATGAAGCCGGTGATTAATTTGGATAAAAAGGGTGACAAGGATTTAGCAAACATGATCTGTGACTACTTAGGTGGTAAGAACTTCTTGCTAATCTTAGATGGCTTGGATACCTTAGATACCTTTGAAGATATTAAGCATGCATTACCCGCTAGATGCAGAGGGAAGGTGGTGGTGACAACCTTTAATTCAGTGATTCCTGCAGTTATATGCAGGCATGTTCTCCATCTTGATCCACTACTGGCAGAAGATGGTCTGGGGCTTCTTCGTGGACGAGCACTCTTGCAGCAATATGACCTTGGTGAGGTGCCTTGGCCTTCTTCAGTGAAATTGGTTGAAAAGAAGATTTTGCATATTTGTCAAGGCATCCCCCTATCTATTGCCACTCTGGGGAGCTTGCTTTCAACAATCAACCTAGAAGAAGTTGGGAATTGGAATGAGGTCCTTCATATGCTGGAGGAAGCTAATCAGTGTATGCCTCAGTCCAATTTGATCAAGAAAGTCATCGCAGTGTGTTACTTTAGCCTGCCAGCAATGCTGAAATGCTGCTTCCTTTATTGTGGAATGTTTCCCCGCCATTGTGACATCCAATGTAAGAAGCTGATTCGGTTATGGGTGGCAGAGGGCTTTACAGGAAGACAGCTATTTGGGATAACAGAAGAGGAATCTGCCAAATACCTCTTAGAAGAGCTTATCCAAAGGAATTTGCTTCAAGTGGCACGTGTAGGTGTAAATGGGGAGGTGGAATCTTGTACACTCCTGCAGCCAGTGCATGATTTTATCTGTGACATGTCACAAAAGGACCAGATATTTTCTATATATGAGAGCACCCAGGAGGTTTGGCCATTAAAGGCATCACGTTGTGTTGCCATACATGGAGAAATTGATTATAGAACACCTAATTCCCTCCCTAGAGAGATCCGTTCTTTGCATTTCTTTCAGGGGAGACCAAACCAGACAGCTATCTTGTTGAACTTGGTATCGAAAGTTAAACTCCTGCATGTGCTGGATTTGCAAAATATTCCTATTGACACCTTGCCTGATGAAATTGGTGATCTTGTTGAGTTGCGCTATCTAGACCTGAGGAACACGAGGCTACATGAGCTTCCACCATCCCTTCAAAATCTGTGTGAACTACAGACACTTGATGTTAGAAACACACCGGTAAGGGCTTTGCCTAGTGGCTTTGATAGCCTCAGGATGTTGAAGCACCTTCTTCTTGCCGATTCATATGGCAACAGGGTAGTGAAGTTGGATGCTGAAATCATGTTTCTTAAAGACCTCCAGACACTAGCAGGTGTGAAACTTACACAAAATGTCGCTCTAGGACTAAACCACCTCCCTAAACTTCTGAAGCTGTCAGTGGGAGAGGTAGAAGGTGGAAAAAATTCTCTTTGTCTGTCAGAATCCATCAATCAGATGAAAGACCTCAGTTCCCTGACCATAAAATGCGCTTGGAGGAAGGAAATTCAAATACAGATATCAAATCCTCTTGAGAATTTGGAAAAGTTACGTGTTGGAGGTTGGATTAGAGATTTGCTGAGTTGGATAAGCAGGCTAAGCTCCCTCAAGTATTTGCATCTATGGGACTGTATGTTGAATCAAGACCCCATCTCAAGTCTCCAGCATTTGCCCAATCTTGTTGTCCTTTCTTTATCGAAGGCTTTCAAAGGGAAGCAGATAAGTTGTGATAATATTGCTGGATTTCCGAAGCTCAAGAGACTATCAATTTTTCACTTTGAAGAATTAACTGAATGGACAAAGATAGAGGAGGGATCAATGGAAAAGCTTCAGATTTTAACCATTGGTTGGTGTCGTAAACTAAAATTGCCTCCAAGAGGCCTTGAAAGTCTGAAGGATCTTGAAACACTGCAGATAACCAGCATGTATCCAGAATTTGCAGAAGAGGCAAAAGCGATCTCTCGTTGTTCAGGCTTAAACTTTTCAGTTGTTCAACAAGTTGCTTCTCAAACCCGTCAACAGAATCTTACCTTACAAATAATCAACTGAGCTATTGGTGGGATTAAATGGGTTACTGCAAACTATTTTTACGAATTGCTTGGGGCCAGGAAAACCGCTCAGCAGAAACTATGTTATCATTTATTGTGGACACTTACAGAAGAAGAATGACAGTTTATGGATTGGCCTTGTAATCTTCTGCCTTTTGATTTCATGGTCACCATATAGTGAACATCTGTTTCCTGTGCGACATTAACTTTTAATTACACTACTGTAATCTAATAAAATTCTCCTCATTTACTTGATTCAAAATTCTTGGTTCTGAGCTGGCTTGTTGCAGGTTATTGTTTTTGGATGAGTAATCAGCGCATGAACTGGTTATGATATTAGATATTGTCAAATTTGAGAATCCCTCAGAAAATGTTAGTTGACAATTGGGTATATTCTACACATTCTCATACAAGATTGGAATCTTAATGAGGCCACAAAAAATATGTTTTTTGTGTTAAATATAGATGGTCCGCTTGAAATTAAATAAAAATGGATCGAACTACTGAGGCAATCATCAATCTCTCCCTCCCCCGGCTCTCTACGAAACTGAAACCAATCAAAATGGATCGAAATTCTTTGGAGCATGTTAGGGAACCAAAATAAGTGTTGGGAGAAGTCCTGAGGATTCAACAAGAAAAATCTAAGCAAAATAATTTTTTTGTTCGGAACAATAGTGAGCCTACATTACCGGAGACCCTTGCCTTTTTCCAATTGTGGCATATTCTTGGGAAGTCCTGGAAGGTGGAAACAGCCGCAGTTGAATTATTACAAAAAAAAAAAAAAAAAGAAAGACGTGGATCAGAAACGAGGCTGGAACACTGGCTATCAAATAGCTCCAGAAAAATTATGTTTCGAATAGGAGCATTTTGAAGCTGTAAAACTACATCAGAAAATTCCCAGATTAAGATAGGAAGACCTTCAAGATTGCACGTTGCATTCTTCTGTCCTTTCAGTGATGTGTTATTGTGGCTGCCCATAAATTTGAGGACAAAGATCTTGAAATTATGCCTCTGCAATTCTTTTATTGTTTCACTGGTTCCTGAGAGACTGGCTTATGTAGGTCACCCCTTAATTCAGAAGTCCTATATGTTCTGCCTAGACATGGACGTCGGTGGTTGATGCTGGTTGATGCCCATCATTCTCTAATAGGGTGAAAATGGAACCCTCCTTCCACTTTCTTGTTCAGTAGCGGTTTTCCATGCCTGCTTGTGTGCCAGATTTATTATGGACCATCCCGTCATCAATACTCGCTTGGAACTGCATCTGTTGCTCGATGTGAAGTCATGAATCTGACCATTTTTCTTCTGTAGAATTGCTTGCTTTCTTCTCTGAAGGAAGTGTTTATGATTTAGCCCTGCCCTTGGGTTAAAAACAAAATATAGAGAGCAAGATTGGCCCTTGGTATAGCGCACAGGAGTGAAAATGACCAACTAATTACCGTTCAGAAGAACTAACTAATTCGATCTTAAATGAGATTAAACGTAACAGAACTCTTATCGTTTACAAAATTTTCCTCCTGATTCGTTTTGTTACAGAAAAACAAGTTCGAAAAACAAACTCTTCAAGGTCATTCTTGATCTGTCTGAAAAGTGTATACCTAATGCTGCTCTTTTAGGCTTCTAGCACAAGAATATAGCTCTCATCATAACGTTAGCTTTTGTGGTGGAAAAAAGTAAACTATCGCTGAAATGAGTAATATAAGCATTGCCATGATAGCATGCTTAAAGTTGAGTCCTGCATCTATTCTTCTCACGGTCTCAAGTTCAGATGTGGAATCTGCTGACGCCACCTTAGTTTCACTAACAGGTTCATTTTTCTGGGCCTTGTCCAGCTGTAAACAGAAAAGGAAACGAAGAGAGGAATTTAGAACACAACACCTACTCCATGACACAGGTCCTAGTAATTGCAGTACAAGCAGAAACAGAAAAGAATTGGAAAGGGTGTGCATTAAGAAGAAGTGAAGTCTTCCCAAAATTTTTAGACACCACAAGGATCTTGCTTCCTTCTGCTACTTCCTATTGATGCCTTCTACATTTAATGGAGGTCAGGGGTGTATAAAATTAGTCTCAAAGGCTAGGAGATCGCAAAGTTTCTAGACTAAATGATCAAATTAAGGACTTCAATGTTGTACAAAGACGCAACAGGCCCAAAAGGTAGAACTTATGACATTTTTTTTAAAACCAAAAGGTAGAACTTATGACATTTTTTTTTTTTAAAAAAAAAGTGATTTGGTCAGTATTTAAGACTCTTGAAACAAACAGGATAGTTGAGATTCAGGTGAAGACAGATCAGGGTCTCACCGCTTCCAATGATTAACATGAAAGCCAACTTATTCAGAAGGTAACATATAATACACACCTCAGAAATAGGAGCAGAGAATTTGGATACGTCATGCTCAGTAAACAAAAACTTTTCACCACTTCCTTTGTTATGATACTTGGTGTCTACAGCATCTTTACTTGTCTGCTGTAATTTCATCACCAGAGTTTGGTTCTGCAGTGCTAGTGATGCTATCTGCATATACGATACAACACATCAGAAACAGAAAACCACCTGAGAGGAAATTTCTCGTAATTGCAAGCTCATGCAGCATGGAATTCATGAAATTTCCTGCAAAGTGACAAATGTCGAGAACTTTAAAAATAAATCTCAAGCAAACAAGACCAGCTATTCTCAATCAAATAAGTATGCCTACCTTTGGAGCTTCTTTCAAAACATTCTCCGATTTATCAAAATGAAAAGAAGAAGAAGAACAAGGAAAAAGAAAATAATATGCTAGGTATCTTCCCAATGGTGTTTATAGCATGGGAGGACAAAAGTCAGATCACTATCCTCTCACTTCTTAATAGCGAAATGTAGTAAATAATGAAGAGATAATAACAAACCCTGTCAAAAGAACTGACCTGAGTGATCCATCTTCCTTTCTACCTTTTTGTTCAAGGCATTTTTTTTCTAATTTTGCATCAAACATTCTAGACTGAAAACAGTTATTTACTTCAGTAGAGTTAGTGTCACAATTTACGTTCCTTGTAGGAGAATGAAGTTTAAGTTGTTTAATTACCCTTTGTTCTACTAATAGACCAATGACCCAGTGGTGTCAACCTCCTGCCTCATGCAAGAGGTATTGCATTCGCCTACTGGCCTCTCTCTACCCGTCCCCCAGTTGTGAAGGCCAGAAACAACTATTCACTGTCTTTTTTTTCTTTTTTTTTTTTTGGGGGGGGGGGGGGGCGGTTTTATTTTTTTTTTTTTTTTTGGGGGGGGGGGTGGTCTATTTTTTTTTTTTTTTTTTGGGGGGGGGGGGGGGCGGTTTTATTTTTTTTTTTTTTTTTGGGGGGGGGGGTGGTCTATTTTTTTTTTTTTTTTTTTGGGGGGGGGGGGGGTGCCAGTTCTAATTCTTGCTTCATTTGATTGATCTTCTGTTTGTAGACCTAGGATTGTTCATTTCCTAACTTTCTTGCCTATTAAACCTGACTAAACTTTCTTCTAAATTATAGCTTCTATTCAGGTTTTAAGGCCTAGTCTCTGCGTGCGCATCCATGTGCAAAATGACAGCTTTATTTACACATGTTGGGTTGAAGAGAGATAGAGAGGACACTAAGAGTAATTATTTGATGAAATTCAAGAAATACAACATGACATTATTCATTGGTGGTCTGTATAGCCTTCAAAATTTTAATTTTCTTTGATACCTAAATATAAAAATTCATGCAAGATCGTGATCAGCTGAAAGTTGAGATATGAATAGTGGGGACCTGTTTATGAAGGCGTTCCCTTTCGATAGCAAGCTGCATCACCAAATCTGTTATCACTTTAGATTGAATGCAGATATCTTTTGCAGTTGCCATTTTTTTTTCTTCGGCTTGATTCAAAGATGCCTCCAAGCACTCAAGACGGCCCCTCAAGAAGCTCAATTCTTCATTTAGATCTGAATTAGTTTCAGATAATATGATGCACTTATCCTCCAAACTGTCTGCTCGGCTTTCAGCTTTTGAAACTTTTGACTTCAAGCCCTCAATTAAATTTTCCATGTCTCTAATTGTAGCATACAGCATATTTTGCTTCTCCTGACTGGCTTCTGCAGATGCCACCGCATGCTGGAGCCTAAAATCAGATTCCCTCAGCTGTCTCTCCAAGGAATCAACCTTCTCAGAAGTGTCTTTAAGATGGCCCAACTCTTCATCAAGTTTCATGTTAGTCTCTTCCAATAACTTTAACTTGGCTTCTGCATTGTCTGCCCTACTTTCTGCTTTAGATAGTTTTTCTTTCAAAGTATCAGTTACATTCTTCATTTCATTGATTTCAGAACATAAATATGCATTATGCTGTTCCTGAGTTCCATTTGCAGAGACCTTTGCAGACAGCTGAAATTCAGATTCTCTCAGCTGGTTCTCAAGTGAAGTCACTTTCTCCCTCAAAATTAAGGCCTCGGAATTAGCAAGGCCTAAATTATTTTCAGCTTCTGACAAGCTGGCTTTTAATCTATCAGTCTTTGCTACGAGCAGACTGAGTTTTGTACAGCTGCTATCGAACTTCTGCAAAGCAATTTCTTTAGCTTCCAACTGCTCAATAGAATTTTCAAGCTTTGATCTTAACTCAGCTTCTCTCTTCACGGAACCATTCAAATTTAACTGGAATATTTGGAGTCGTCCCAGTAGTTCTTTTGATATCCCCATCAAAACCTCAGCAGCATTTTCTGTTTCAAACCATTTTTCATAAACATCCATTGTTTCTTCCTCTATGAAGAATACTTGTTGCTGGATAGAGAGTACTCTATCTTTAAGCTCTTCTTCAAGTTGTCTTGATTCAGTTAGCTTCTTTTCAAGGTCCATCTCTCTTGCCAAAGACTTCTCCAGCATCCTCAAGAAATGCCTTTGTTGTTCTGCAGTTTGCATGTTGATCTTTGAATTAATGCTTGACAATTGGTTGTCTTCTAAGAAGTTTGAGCCCTTGTCAGCACTCCCTTTTAAAATGCACACATAAGAATGTGAAGTAAAAAATTATAACCAGTAAGTAATTGATCTTTCCTTGACACCAAAGTTCAAAACAGTGAAATAAAAAGGCAAAAATTTAAACATCAGTTTCCAAAGCAACAGAATTAGCCTGTCAAATACAAGAATTCCCTAAAAATATTGCATGCATGGTTCCAAAATACCTGCATAAAATGCACCTATATCCACCCCCCCCCCCCCCCCCCCCCCCAAAAAAAAAAAAAAAAAAAAAAAAAAAAAAAAAAAAAAAAAAAAAAAAAAAAAAAAAAACCAGCAGGCTGCA